CTTCTAGATTTTAAACTCCTTTTAGGCAACTTTTCCTTTTCAATTGTGTTTGCTTCGCCCCTGAAACAACATCAGTTACACATTGAGTGATACCACAGCATGGGAAGCACTGGGGAAAAGAACTGAAACTGATAAACATAACAGCTTAGAGAAATGAGAGCGAGAAAGCAGAGCTTAGAGGCTCGGTGCAGGAAAGCATTGCGTCCTTTTTTTCTATTCCTGAATGACCCATCCTCAGTTCAGAAAGGGATGTGAAAGTCTCCCAGGTGAAGGAACAAGGCACAGCCTGGAGCTGGGAAATGTGGTGAATTTGAGCCACACTTAGAGAAGAGCCTCTGACCTCGGTGAGAGAGCAGGCATGTGAGGACTGTCAAAGCACACTGCCACACAGGAGTGTGCTTTATATACTGCTGGCATGCTAGTGGGCAGAAGAAACTTGCTTTGCTGGAGTTTCCTGTGCATCAGTGGTAGCTAAATAAAAAATTATGGGAGTGAGCTGTATAGCAAGATAAGAAGCAATTGCAGCTGGGAACTTCTATGAGCAAGTCCAAAGGAGGCCACGAAGATGCTGGGGGGGCTGGAGCAGCTCCCCTGGGGGGCCGGGCTGAGAGAGTTGGGGGGGTTCAGCCTGGAGAAGAGAAGGGTCCAGGGAGCCCTTCGAGCGGCCTCCCAGGGCTTAAAGGGGGGACAGGAGAGGGGGGGAGGGACTCTGGGTCAGGGGGGTGGGGGTAGGACGAGGGGGAAGGGTTTTAAACTGGCAGAGGGGAGATTTAAATGAGATCTAAGGAAGCAATTCTTCCTTTTGCGGGGGGTGAGGCGCTGGCCCAGGGTGCCCAGAGCAGCTGTGGCTGCCCCCTCCCTGGAAGGGTTCAAGGCCAGGTTGGACGGGGCTGGGAGCCCCCTGGGCTGGGCGAAGGGGGCCCTGCCTGGGGTGGGGGGGGATACTGGGGGGGCTTTGAGTTCCCTTCTGACCCTAAACCATTTTGTGATTCTATGACATGCTTAACTGTGCAACTTTTATGAAACACTCAGTTCAAGACATATTAAATGGTTTTATATTATCCTACTTCAAGTTGAAATAGTCTGTGCCTAATACTTCTGGGCCAACTATGCATATTCCTTGTGCTTGTGGACATCACTAGCCTCCATAGTTTTCACTTAATTATCTGTCTTGATGTAGAATTACAAAAGTTCCTGAACTGGTCTAGCCAGGTGTGGGGAAACATGCTGGGAAATGGTATGACTCCTGCAGACAACAATGTAATAATTAAAATATGTTATTTGCATTACAAACAGCAGTAAGTCAAGCCCCTGTAAGCTGGAGCCAAGATATATTCCTCATCAAGATACATTCCCCGTCTAGTTGTTACGTGGTGTCATACAGCCTGATTACAGGTGTGATACCGCTTCAGAGAAACCTGTCATCTGGTGCCCGGATTTGTGGAGCCGCATGCCAGGTATTTTATGGCATGAAGAACAGAGCCTTTCTAAGAAATGGCCTGTTCCACACTAGAAGGCATTTTTTCTCCTTTCCAAGAACAGTAGTGTATATTTTGTAGGTTCTTTGGTGCGTCTTGATTGTATTGGCAAGTCAAGCCAAGGATTCACTGCGTGAGCCATTCCTTATTGCCGAGTTTCTTTCCCTGTGCCGTGAAGCTGGTGCTCAGGTGTCTTGAGGACAGAGGATAACTATCAGAGCCTGCAGATATTCACAGGAGGAGGTTAGTAGGTTAAGCTCATCTTTGCCTGGGCTGCCTCGACCTGCCCAGCCTCCAACCACCTCCCTGCCCTTCTCAGGTGTTTCCAGCCAGTCCCTCCCTCCAGCACCTGCAGCTCTGGTCGGGTTTCGCACAGACGGAGGATGCTGGCACATCTTTGTCCTGCCAGGCCTGACTAGTTCCTTGATGTGTCCTCCTTGCCAGCACGAGGGAGAGAGCAGGAGGAGGTTGCCTGGGCCAAGCAGAACCATGTTACGGATTTGAAGCTGTAGCCAGAAGAGCTCATAGTAATGCACAAGCAGATGCTGGCTGTCACGAAGCGCTGGGCAGTGTTGCTTCCTTCCATGCTTTCCAAGTGGCGCTGGAGCCAAAAGGGATTGAACAAACTGAAATACACTATTACAACAAAACAAACTTGTCCGTGCCTTGCTTTGTGTGGAAAGACGGATGGGGTACATTAGAAAGCTGTCCTGATCACCTTGACTTTTCGCTACGATTATTTTCCAGCGTCTAAATTTTATAGACAGATTAATGACTTGCCACAGTGTATAGGTGTGAGACATAGATATTTCAGGCATTTTTAGCTCGGTCTTCTACGGAAATGAGGCTTATTTTCTTTCATTACCTCTACCTCTCTATACTCCCACATAACATACTTTTTAACCCATGGCCAATTTCAGTTAAATTGGGAAAAGAACTACTGAAATTAAAGATATGAATTTTGTCAAAAGAGATGATCAAGAAGAAAAAAACAGCATTATTACATAGTCCTTGCTAGACAGCAGAGAAGCCACACAGAAGGCAGCCAATCTGAAGCCAAATGCAGAGCCTCAGTATGGGTTTACACCACATAAGACATCAAAAGATCCCATTATAAGGAATGAAATAATAGGGAAAAAACATCACTTCTGCTTATGGAGCTCATCTACTGAATTCTGTATAAACCAGAGGTCACTGCTTCTCCATATGCAGAACCTCACTGAACTTAAAAAAGTGAGGCTGGTGATTTCCTTTAGTGAGGTAGTAATTGGAATGTTTCTGGTTTGCTTTTTTGATTCATGTTGCCCTTGCTAGGAAGAATTATTGCTGTGTCACTGTATGACTTTTATATGGCTGTGTATGAATTTGTTTGGCTGGAAACCACAGTGAGAAGCAGTAAAAAGAGGTTTTGAAATTTAATTGTGTGGGCAACACGATTGAGGGAGCTGAAAAGAAGGGACCAGCCCCTCTGGAATTGAGTGCTACCCAGGAGAGTCTGTTTCCTGCTCCTCAGAGTAAGATCTTTGCAAAAAAACAAGCTTTCTCCATGCATTTGAAGTCAACCATCACAGCGTCTTACTGAATGTAGCAGCATGTTTTTGTCTGGGGTTTTTTGTTGTTGTTTTTTTGTCTGATTGTTTTTTTAATCTCCAAGACTATTTCTGTTTCTTTGTGTGGGGAAAAGTGTCTTAAAGCACATAGGCTAAAACTGCTTTAAAAGGTAGGCATTTCAGGCAAATTTTGTATTCTGAGTGAAGCTATACACATCTGATTACGAACTGTGAAAGGTATTCATGAGTTCTTATCTACCCTTCAGGTAGAAGCTGGGAGCAGCAGCAGGAGCGCCGCGCAGAAGGCGAGGAGGAGAGGATGCCTGAGGGCTTCACCTACCACCATCCAACACCTGCTCACAGCATCACGTTGGGAATCGATTCTGCTTACCCCAACCTTTTACTGCTGTGAAACCTCCCGATCTGCACCACCACCTATCGCTTTCAGAAGGGCTCTCAGCTGTCAGGTAAAAACTTTTTGAACTAAAGCAAACCCAGTCGAGTCTCATTTTCTGCATCGTTACAACTTGGTGAATTTGTTATTGAAAGTAGTGGAGAATTACTGAAAAGAATTAAAACATCTGTACAGTTTTGCACTTGAGAACAGCAGAAGTACCTACCCGAGTTTTCCTGACTTCTATGCTAAAGTTTTTTGGAGATGATTCAGAGAGCACTGAGGTGACAGCCTTGCCTTCGGCTGCCCTGGTAATCGGCGCTTTGGCACCGCATCTTGCTAGAGGATTTGGAAGCGGCTGATCCACCTCGCAGGGAAGGTGGATAGCATGAAGCAGGCATGCTGGCCTGCCAAGAATGTGAGCACTGTGCTAGTCAAATGTTGTTTCTCCTGTGTATATGTTGTTTTTCACCAACATTTTCACAGAAAAAAAACCCAAAAACTCTTCCCACGCCACCCCTCCATACTCCATTGAAATACATGCCTGGGAAAGACTGGTTGAAAGTAGAAACTCTTGAGATAAGAATCCTGCAGCAGTACTCCAGGGCAATTATATTTCACATTTGATGAGTCCATCCTCTAGACCCCAACCTAAGTTATATCTTCCATGATGTAGTAGTTTGTCCAGCTCGGGAGATGAAGTCCTGTGGCCAGCCCCTGGCTCTGCAGGAGAAAGGCAGGACGTGGGGCACGTTGACTACTGCTGCCAGGGGCAGTGCTGTACCATTTGTGAATTTTCTATGGGAAATGGACAGTTTTTAAACAGAAAACTTTGTTTTGTTGAAAACCATGACAGGAAAAAAAAGTCAAGGGAGTAGGTCAGCACTTACTAATAGATCAGCTCAGGCTGTGTTTGGTAAGGAACGGAATAAAGAAGGTGAGGCTCAGATGCCTTAGACAGTGCTTGTGGCATATGCTCCCAAAATGAAGCCGATTCATAGTTGGAAATGATTTGACTGCAAGATACCTTATTATGCAGATTTCTACCTAATTTACTCGTCCAATTAGATCATTAAGATGCCTCAAGTGTGTGTGGTTTGGTTTTATTTTGGAGCATTTTTAAGAAAAACTCACCATCTTTTCCTTGCAGAAATCTTGTCTACGTATTATCTCTACCCTGAGGCTTCTGGATGAGGATGTCTGAGGTGTGTATACAGGGCTGGGAGATACTGGTGCAGAGGAGACTGGGAACTGTTTGAAACTGGCACTAATCAAGGGTTACAGGAGGTGGTGGCTTCACCAGAGACTTTCCTGTGACAATATTAATTGAGCTGCATTTTTGTGGCTACTTAACTCTGACACCATATTTTTGCATGGACATTAAATGGCACCTTGTAGGAACTCTGGCAGCTTGCATCGTAAAGTCCCACAGATGCAGAGATAGTTTTTGAGGTTCGAAATTTGGGAAGGTACTAACTGTAAACATTTTTCGCTGATTGTCCTAAATAGTATTTTAGCCTCGTACATTCCTCCTTACCTGCAGTTCTTCAACTCTGACTTTATACAATTTATCAAATTAACGCTGTCATGAGAGCATGGTACAGAGCCAGACGATGACTGTCCTTGTTGCATAATGCAGGGAGCTTTGGCCAGAGGAGTTTTTAGCAATAGTGAAGAAGGGCGGGGAATAGAGGACATACTCTGTAATTGAGGATCAAAGCTAATTGTTTCTGCTTCTCTATCTGTACATGAGCTGTTCAGCTCCAAAAGGCAGAAGTGTCAGGAAGCATCTCTCATCTAGACGTTCTGTCATCTGGAGGAAGTGAGGAGGTAAGTTCTGCTTTTTTTCCAAATCCATTTTTTTGTAAGAAAAGTGTCCTCAGAGTAGCTTGGCAATACATTTGATGATAAGAGGCTTAAGTATAACCTAGATTTAGTATAAACTGCAAGATATGTACAGAAATGCAACAGATCTAGTAAGGATATTGCTAAAAGTAGCTAATAATTAACTACAGAAGAATTACCTAGTTCATCTCACCTATTGGGCAGAAAAGAGGTGGGGAAGCTATGGAAGTAAAATGGAAAAGGTGAGGCAAAATTTTTCTAAAAACTTTAGGAAGTGTCTCTTGTTAGGATAAAATCCTACTCTATATAGATCTGGAAAGTTGCATTTAATTTCTGTGGAATAAGTTTTTTCCCACAGATCTTGACACCACCAAAAGTTCTTAAGTTTCCAGTTAAAAAGTGGGGAATTACAGTTTTTGTCTTGTCTCCTTTTATTTGCCAAATGACAGGAAGCACTAATAACTGAAATAGTACTTTCCCTCTCCAGTTCTGTATTTTGGTAACTGTATAATGTAACACTCAATAATTATTAGTGTGAATTTGAGCACAAAGCTTTAAAATAAATTTGTGTGTTTTCATTCTGGCAACAGATCAATTCAATCTCTGTTGCAGAAGCAGCTGGATAATCTGTATATAGTTTCCTTTTATTGTAGTTCTCTATGTGTGGTATTCTGCATACTCTCAGTTTGCATACCAGTGGCAACTGAAGCATAAGACCTAAAATTCAGTCTGCAGTAGTAGAAATCAGGCTTCTAACCAAGTTCTAGGTCAAAATCCACAAGTGGTGAAGGAGAGAGAGTTTGAAGTGCTTTCTGAATTAAGCTGCTTCAACAGAGTCTTAAATAGTACAGTGCAAGGCAAAATTATGAAAGTAGAGTTTGGCTTGGAGGATGGAATTGCAATAGTTATTGGGTAACCAATTTCTGGAAAAAAGAGATATTGTGGAGCCTCCTTGGTAAACAACAGTGCCCAGTACACAGTGGTCTAAATTGGACTGTCATGTTTGGAACTGGATGTAGGAAAGAAAAAAGGAATACAAATGAAACCTTTTATGGGATGGGGTGTAGAAAAAAAAAAAAAAAGACTCCTGCTAATCTGTTACTATCTGATCATGTTTTATGCTTTAAAATGTATTTGCAATCTTGGATTTTTAGATCTCTTGTGTTCTTAAAATATAATTTACTAAAAATGGTCAGTATGAGTAAACTGAGTAGCATGGAGTTGCTACTATGTTTTTATATATTTTTTTATTCTTAATTTTTTTTTGGTAAGGTTTCTATTTCTAGTAACTATCCTTTATTGCAATAGGGAAGGCTTTCAGAAGCAGCACAAAGTTGAAGATGGATATTAAGAGCATGAAGAACTATCTCTATTGGCTGTACTGCCAGTTTGAACTAATCACCTGCAGCTATCTCATGGAGCCCTGGGAAAAACTGCTTTTCTACACTTTCAACATTATGATGTTAGTTATGGTATTATACACTGCTTACATCTTTGTCCCTGCCCACATTAACATGGCTTTTCAGTTCTTCTTGCACTTATTTGGAAACCATCATGAAAATACTGTTTCTATCGTGAAGTAACATTGGCAACCTGACACTGACTTTTGGATCAAATAAGTGTTTTTCTTAAAACTCCTTTTTTGTTTAGGAACAAGTTCAGGGTGTGTGCAAACACTGTTTTATTCTGCAGTATCTTTTAATGTTCTTCTGTATTCTGGGACTCTCTGACAGCAAATTATTTTGCCAAAACAATTTCAATCAGTCCTTGCTTTTACCGTTTGACTGACTGCTTCTTAAAGAGCTTTCAATTTTAAAGACTGGCTGGAGTTATGAAGCTGGATTTGGTACAGAAACAACTGTGCTGCATATTTTGTTATTGTAGGGAGAGCTGCTTGGATATGGAGAGATTTCATCTTGAGAAATTATATGGCATACATTTGTTCTTGTCTGCCATAGTTTTGCTCAGGAAAGATGTGTACACTGAAGGTTTTGCACAATACTATACAACTATAAGATGTTTCTCTAAGCTTGGTGTGTATGTATTTATAGAGTGATTTTATTATTTATTTAGTTTCCTCATTTAGTACAATGAACTACTTGACTGGTTCAGCATCATTATGCAAATAATGCAGTTGATTTGTTAAAAACGTGGGGATTTACTTCCATGAACATTTATAATAAAATTCTCATCTTCTTTAAAATTCTCATCTTCTTCGACTTAATGAAAAAAGATAATTTTTGTTTTACTTTTAGAAGACTGGTAAAGCATATCATATACAGAATATGAAACTACATACTCAATTGCGGTAGTGACATTTCAGTTGAAAACCAATAAAAACCCTACCTAAAATACAATGTCTCCTTTTTCCTGAACCCCTTATTTCCATTCTTTCACTTCCTTTTATACTCTACCTGTTGAGTAGTGTCTGAAACACGAACTCTGGAGACTGCAGACTTTGTAACTAATGTGCAGGACACCCTGTCATTGCCTTTGTTTCAGAGTCCGTGGTTTTTAAGCTTCAGCCTTAGAAACACAAGATGCCTGTGCTGCACCTTGCCACGGCGGACACGGACTGGAGCTGGCCAGGGATGAAGTACCAACACAGTTCACTTGGCAACAAGAATCGGTGTTCTCTGTCATCCCAGGAGAAGAACAGAGTAGTAGCAGGGCGCATACAGGGTAATGGAAATGCAGCTTTGCTCCCACCCACCCTGAAGTGAGTTTTCTTACAACTTTCCAGCACTGCGGTGCTCCTAGAATGTCCTCTCCTTTAAGAGACTAGGATGTTATTAGCAAGTAGCAATCAAATGAGTTATGAAATGGGATTTGGTCACAGACATTGATAAAACTAATTACATCATTTGTCATCTCAACACTAGATTCAGTTACTGTCCCAGTTTATAATTAGGGGAAAATAAGATAGGATATGAAAATAATTTATTCAGGAAAATGATGGTAGCTGCGCTTAAACTTACAACTCTTTTGATAGTATCCGAGTAATCTTGACATTTATAGAAAAGATACTAGCTTTTGTGCTTTTAGATTAGAATCCATTGTTTATTTTATTAACGTAATATAACAGCTAAAGTAGTAAATATCTTGCGTTTGCTCCTAGCAGCTTTCATGCTCAGTATGTTTAGGAACAGAAGAGGGAAACATAGTATTTTGTTATTATATTAGTCAATATATTTTACATTGACAATTTTATATTAGGTTAGTCGATTATTAGGCTATTTATGAAGACAATAATTTTGTTTCAAAACTGTCAGTCTATAATGTAGATATCTCAATGCAGTATTTTGCCTTATACATGCTGGAGAGGAGACACATGCTCATACTGCATTGTGTACCTCTGGAGAAAGCTCCATGCATAATCAGGCCAACATCTCCACGTTTACACTAAATTATATGTATTTGTTGACATCCAGGAATCTGACATGGGCAGGAGAAGTAGGAACTCCTATCTTGGGCGTGTTTTTGTTTATTGCCACCCTTTCCCCATCTCCCCAGCGTGAACTCACTTGGTGTTTGTTGTGGTTGCCTGAAGTGGCTGGTGTCTCTTTTGCAACAGCCTGCGTAGGATGGTGTCTGCTGAGCTGCCCTGTGTGCAGGCAGCCGTCCTTCAGTAGGGAGATCAATGACAGCTGACAGCAGTGCTGCTTCATTGCTGCTGCTGAGGATCCCAGCTCAGCTGGCTGAATTGAGGAGAGCCAGGAAAGCACCAAAAAGCAAAGGAGAAAACAAGGGGCTAAGTGGCAGCTGGAGAAAAAACAACCAACCAAACAAACAACTTCTTGATCAGTTTTACTCATTACAATCTTTTCCCTGCATGTCACCAAGGCTCTCATCTACAGAACAGGATTTCAAATATTGCATTCGAACTCCACCTTGCAATTTCAGTTTTGAAACACTAACCTGCTTGGGCAGGTTCCCTATTGGAAGCTGCGCTCTGACCAGCAGCCCCAGGTGTTGAACTGATAGAATAAGGCCATGGCTCCAGATGTGCTCACGCCAGGCCGGTGCAGGCTCACCTGGCAAGGTAAATTTGATAAGGTCAGGCACTGATATAATTTGATGTCTGTCTAGTCATGCACTTGCTACAGCGTTCATCCCAGCTGTGTGACAACAGATGCTATCTGCCGTGTAGCAGAGACAACCATAGCAGGCTGCTTCAAGATTTTTTTCAATCAGCAGAGCTTCTACTGGCTCAGTAGGCTGCACTGAGTGGCCACAACTTTATTTTTTAAACCTGGTGATAAGTGTTGCAAATCTAGATTTACTAACACATGGCTCTAGCAGAAAGTGTTTCAAGAGGAACCGGAAATGGAATATCCCCTGCAATTCCTGCCTGCACATCCTTCTCTGAGGACACCTGCACCAAGTTCACTTCCCGGTGACTTCTTGCTAGCACTAGCAGCATTTCCATCCCACTTTGCTTAAGTTCCTTGTGCAACCAAGAACAAGCAAAGTTTTTTGGACAAACTTTCCCGCATAGACAGGCCAGCCACCTGCAGACAGCTTTTGCACAGAGACGCCCATACGCACACAGGGCCTACACGAGTCGGAGGTTGGTTGTTAGACAAGGGGGTGGCTGGGGTTATCTCCTCAACCTTATCAGCAGATCTGCTCGCTCAGCGAGAGAGTATCAAATCCTCAATGCCAACGCCTGCCACGCTACATGGCGACTAATTCCCCACGCCTCTTTTCCACAGCCTGCGTGGGCTGAGTGTTTGGGTGTGCACGTGTGGGAGACGGCTGGCTGCAGTTGCTGTTTGCAGGGCTTTATCATCCATCAGATGCCCCGGTAAGAGGTGCTTGTTGCTCTCTCCTCAGCCTGGTGACCACAGTGTACGCCTGTATATGCAGTACGTGCTGCTCAGTGACTTTCTGACAACAAAGGAATTCATTTTAGTATTTGCAAATGTGGACTTAAACATGCAGTCTTAATTTGACGAGGTTACCTTCTGACATATAACCAACATGGTACTCTAACTTCATTTCCATTACCCACCTCTGTGAATAGGTCTGACCTCCCCATCTGTGCGTTTAAAGAAGGGAAGTTTATGTCACTATAAATTAAAAAGGAAGGTGGGGGTGATGTGGAGCACCATTCAGATGGCTGTTTCACTGACTTTTTAAGAGGAATCTCACATTTAAATTGCACAACTCACCAATACTGGTTCAGCAAATTTAAACTAAAGAACAAAATAATAAACATCCACTAAAATAACCCTGATCATGCTGTTCACAATGAACTGTTTGATCTTTACATCTATAATACATAATGGTAGATTCACAGCACCCTCGTGGTGAGGGTTTATTACGTTAGGAGTTTTACACCTTATCTCTCATTAAACTATAATCTGTATTTTATCGATCCAAGTAGTTGAAATTTCCTAGAGGCAACGAAGATGATGATTTTGTTCACATGGAACTTTACTCCCTCTGCTAATGATTATTTCTAACAGTTTTTAGAGACCTAAGATAAGTTCATGCTCCTTGTTATTTTTATTGTTTTGCTACTATGATGTATGCATTTTGTCTATACTATTTACATCTGAGCATAATTTGAGTTCTTATCTTAGCTATTAATTATGACTTGAAAACCCTGTTTCTAAGGTGAACTTGTCAGCACTTAATAGCCTCTGCATCCCGCAGAACTTACTCCTTTTCATCTTGCACATGTTTAGAACAATGTTGAGCTTGCAGCAGATGTTTCCTTTTACAAAGCTGACCTTAAAGTACTCAGTCCTGCTTGACTGAAACTTTCTGCCTAACTTTTGCCAGCTGAAACAACTTCATGCAACAGCTTAGCTATAGTCTTCTTTGTTACAGAAAATTACTTCTTCCTATATCGGTGACATTTCCAGCATTCAGCGTAAATACTATATAGGATAGTATTTACATAGAAATCTTTCCAGATATTCTTCAGAGGGACAAAGGAAAGAATTTGCAAGAGTGAATGTTTGCCTGCTTATGCTTTCCTGAGGAGGCCAGGGCTTTGCCTTTGTTCCTCTGCAGCACCAGGAACTTCTCTCTCACCTGACTTCCACACCTCCCCGCCTGAGGAAGGGGAAGGAGAAGCACAGCCGAGGGAACGGCGAGGAGTCCTCATGGACCTTCCACCTACCAGACTCTCAAATATTGTCCCTTCTTATACAGCTAGCTTGGTTAGAATTTATTTTTTGTTTGTACGGAATACTTGAGAAAAAAAAAAAAAAGTCACAACCTCATATTTCAAAAGGATGGTTCTACAAAGGTGAGACTTAAAACTTTCTGTATAATGTGATTATTCCCGCTTCGGTTTGAAGGCTGTAGAAAATGCATATAAGAATATTACCCCTGTTTCAACTTAGATACTTAATATGTGGTCCATAATCTTATAATGCAGGTTTTCCACTATCTATCTGCTGTTTAAAACTAGGTTTTCCACTATTTATATGCTGTTTAGAACCGGAGGCACTGGGGATCCTAAAGTCTACCCAGAAATGATTCAAAGTGGCAGCTAAGGGTTTGCCTCCTGCTTATCCCACAGGAGTTCACAAGTTCTGTTTGCCACTTGGGTTTGCAGGCAGCCAAGGCTGGTATGTGGCTGCCTTAAAAAGGAGAGAGAAAGCTGGTAGCCTTGTGGCTACGGCATTCATGTAAGACAGAACAGACTCAATTTCCTTTTGACATGCGTTGAACCTGTATCCTTCACAGTTCTCAAGAGGAGAGGTGCCAGAGCGAGGATCTCCCCAACCCTCCCACTGCCAGTGCTCCTCTCTAAGGATACGCCAGGCAAGAAAATAGGTGAGGAGTCTGTGGGTGCGGGTGCTTGAGCATTCAGTGAACACGCGATTTCCGACCTGGCTCAAATCCATTTTCAAGCACCACATAGAAAAAAATGGTACAACACTCAGTTTGTGATCCACCTCATGCAGCAGCTTGGGGCTCAGGCCCCCAGGCAGCCACCTAAAAGGCGAGATGCGACGGCTTTGCCTGTTAGAAGAAGAATTTGTATCCAAAGCTCACACCTTCTGAGACAGGGCAGGCAAAAGGGCTGCACTGACCTGTTACCTCCCTTCCTTGTAATCGATGTGTAGCTTCCTACCTATACATCTGAAACATCACAGGGTCCACACAGTGCATCAGGACCGTAAGTGGGTGAGCAGGTGCCCTCAGCCCCTGGGCAGCAGGGATTTTGGGGCTGGGGAGCCCAGTGGGTACAACCAGGGCCCAGCCAGAGCAGCACCCCGGGCCGCAGGTGGGTCCCTGCTCCTCCCTCAGCTCCAGCTCGGAGGGGCACACGCTTTGGTAGAGGCAACTGGAACCTTGGGGTTGCTTCCCTCTGCACGTGGAGGGTAGAGAGTGTCACCCAGCAAATTAAAATATGCTTTTGAGAAGCACCTGTATTTTTTAGAAAGCTGCTTAAGTTCAAACAAACCCCCAACAAACTCCCTTGAGCATTCATATCTTCTAACAACCTTTTCCATTTGGAAGACTTATCTGAAGATACCCAGGGCTGCTTTCACTGGTACAACTATGCATGGCTAATTTCTCTGCATAATGAAGCGATGCATTACATGCCATTAACACCTGAACTCGACTTCTGAATATTTTTTTACGTTATGTTAGAAACCTACGTTAAAAGAATTAGTTTTTGAAATTATTTAATCTTGTATATATCTGGAATCCTGTCGGAGCACAAGGAGTTGTGTATGAGCTCAGCTGCAGATGTCACTGACCCATCCTTTGGGTGCGTAACACAGCGCTGTAAGTCACCATACGCTGCCTGTCAGTGACACCTATAGAAGCTTTATGTCTCTGTTACAGGAAGTGATATTAAAAAGGCAAATCAAATATAGAGCAAACCTGAAGTAGCTATGAATACCCAAACCTTTACGAAGCATTTTAACTCAGGCAGACCTTGTTACAGAGCGGGAAAGCCGCAGCAGTAGGAATCCTCCTTAGAGACTGTGTCAGTCTGGAGATCACAGGCTTTGGGAAAGAGCAAATTCAGGCAAGGAGGAAACTGCAGTAAATGCGTGAGCTATCCATGGAGTTCAGAAGCTGCCAAGGTTAAACAGCAGCTCTCTGAACACTGGCACTATTTGGACTGAACAGAACTCCTTTTAAATCCTAGGTGAGGCGGACACATCCTTGTGTCGGATCCGAGTTTGGGGCAATACCAGGCACCTGCTGGAGCGAGGAGTCGAGCGCAGGGGTATGGAAACAGGCACCGAAGCCCAGAGATGCTGGAAGGCTGAGGAGCAGCTGGAAGAGTTGCCCGAGCACGATGGAGCCCGTAGCAGCGCTTCCAGCCGGCTGGCTCCGGCACCTCCTTCCCCAGCGTCCCAGCTTCCGCAAACCTCCGCTTCGGGACTAACTCTGGGGCTGCTGTGCTGGGAACCGGCCGAGGCTGCCATCAGGCAACCACAGAGCTGGGCAGCACAACACACAGCGCCCCAACACCTCCCCTCCTTGGGACACTCGGGGCTCCTAAAGGACCTAATTCTGGATTATTTGCACTATGATCATTCACCTTTTAAGGAAGAGTCTAAAACAATCCTAGAGCCTCAAATGACAGCTTTGAGGGTTTTCTCTTCTGCTGTATTCATACTAGTTTAAATATGTCAAGCTTTCATACATTAGCATAAATTAATTTCGCAGAGGTAGGGGCTAAAAACTGCAGCCCTTTATATCTCAGATCTGCCCTAGAAAAAAGTATGAACTAACAAAGAGCTACATTAATAACAAAGGTGTTAATTATAATCGTTACAGCCCATGCAGCTTGAGGTCTCACCTTGCTAAGTGGTGTACAAACAACCTGCCAAGTAATTTACAGTTTAAGGAGTTTCCTTCTGTATTACAAAACTTGTCACTGAGCACAGATTACTTTAAAATAGTCTTTCACATCTTTTCAGTCCTTGGCACATCTGAAACATCTTCGTAGCTGATGTGAAAAGGTACATTAGTTGTGGATTTGTTTCATTTCCTAAAGCTGAATATTCAAATTACACAAAGGCACTTCTCTTTCTTTACAATTATGCTTTGTTTTTCATTGTGGAACTGAAACACTGACAAATTTTAAATTTCATCTCCTGTTTCTTGTATGTCTTAACCAGGTCCCCATCCTAAGCTGAAGGTGAAATACAGAAAACGTCACTAAATTCTGAAGGCAATAATATTCTTTGCCATGTGATCACATTCTGGAATGAGCTATAGCAAACACTGCCAAAAGCCCTCGGAAACCCAACATGCGAGTCTCACCCCTATATTTATCTGTTCTGGGAGAATGCAGCTAAAACAAGTGGCCCTGGCAAAGCGCAAGTAGAGACGAATCTGCTGGCAGCAGGAGCAGTTTGCCAGGAGTGAGTCTTTAACATCAAAATCAAAGCAGCTTTTGTCTTATTTTTTCCTTAGGTTGGTAATCCATTATTTTAAACTTAAATGAAAATATTAGGAACTACATCGGCATAAACAAGTTTTTCAGAGTTTATAGCCCTCTTTTCTTCAGAGCAGCTGAACAGACCACTTTTGGGTCCATTAATGTGAAGGAATAGTGACATCAGGTGGACTATCACATTAACCACAGGCACATCTCAATTCTTCTATGGCAGCTTCTCCAGAAGAACGGGCAAGTGCCTGCCACACTGTAGCTGCCTCCTGGCCACAGAGACACCTGTGCCTCTCACGCCAAGTGTATTTGGCCATTCCTAGAAGGGTCCTTAAAACACACCCAGCACTTTGTGCTCCATCCTGAACACGTTTCAGTGACACCAAACACATGCAGAGTGGTACTATTTCCTTGGTCCCTGCACTGTAGGTGCAGCACTGACAGAGGAGAGGCCGACAGAGCTGGGGCTGTTCAGCCTGGGGAGAGACGGCGCAGCGGGATCGTATCCACCTGCAGCAACGCTCGGCGGCAGGCAGTAAAGACGGAGCCAGGTTCTTCTCAGTGGTACCCAGGGAAAGGGTGCTCCCCTTGGCCAAACCCCAACCAACCAAAAGTAATCTATATATTAGTCTAACTTCTTAAATGAAAAATCCATGACACAATATTCCCCTGTAATTCCCTATCTTTAAGCTACTTATAAAAGAGACTAAATTAATATTGATTCTATTAGAACTCCCCACCAGATCAGTATCTCACCAACTAGTGCATACTCTATTCCTCAGCTTGTGATTTCCCAAGGAGCAGTGCCTTCAAAAAGTTGTCTGGCACGATTTTAACACTGTTTTCCAGTAAATATTTTGCCTGAACAATTTCCACCTGAACTGTATTTGGGAACCTCTCTAGTTACATAAGAGAATCGACTAACAGATTTTTAAAGCGGTTAAAGGTGAACTCATCATCCTTAAGCTTTTCATCATCAACATACAAGACTTTAGTTTCTTCTATAGAAAAAAAAATGCCTGAAGTAGTGCTTGCATACTCAAATCACTAGTTTCTGTGTATTTATTTCCCTCAATCATCCAGCTTTTGTGCTGTAAGGTTTGACTTATGCAACATAACATTCTCCTCCACTGTTTTCTGTGGCCAAAACTCAGTCATTACAAAGTTCTGGGCAGCCTCTCTCATGACAAATTAACTTCTTTTTTTTTTTTTAATTGAACTTTGAATGTCAATAAAATGAGCTAGGATCACAGTAATACATCAGGTATTCACAGGAGCTACTGCACACGCTGTTCACTAAGGCAACTGAACCCCCCAAAAAGAAGTGATTCACCATTAAGCAAAATGGAAATTCAGCACTAAACCCCCACAAAGTTTAGATCTGTTCTTACATTTTCTGTCTCCTTTCCTCCTCCCAGTAATTCACTGAGGTAGAAAAAGTGAAGTGAAACTCCATTAGCTTAAGTAACTACTTCTTCCCACCATTCCTAGCCGGGGGAGTCAGTGTGACAGGGCTGACAGGCTGCACGAAGCCGCCTTTGGTTTCACTGTCAAAGCCTTGCTTCTGAAAGAACAGCACGTTGGCTGTCTTGAAGGACAAAACTTCTCTGCTGAAACAGAATCTTGTCAGCTGGCTGCACTTTTTTTTTCTTTTTAAATACTTTGGAAAAGCATTCTTTCCTTTTAGCCTTACTACTAGCTTACTGTAAGCAGCAAGTACACTTCAAATTTAACCATCACGTAATTACTTCAGACAAACCTTTTACATCTGCATCAGTACTCATAATTTACTACACACACTGCTACTGCTTGGTACTCGCTATCCCAAGTACCCGGTGCCCAATCTGGCGTGCACACGTGCATAACTTCACAGCTCAAGAACAACCCCCCTCCCCCCCAAGCAAACTAGTGGGACGTGATGCTTCAACTCTTCTGATTCAAAATTCATCAAAATCTGGGTGCGAATTAATCATTGAGCAATTGTGACTTAAAACCTTGAAGCAACTTCTGTATGTATAAAAGGAGAGGAGCTTTAAGTTGTGGCTCAATCCACAGATAGAGATTTTTCAGCAAGAGATGCAGAGTAAGTGGCAGCCTTTTATTGTAATAAATACCTTTTGTCAAATTACTTATCCAGTGTCAATGAGAAGACCTTGGCAAAGATTTAATTTGCTGGTACACCACATAAGCCTCTTTTGGCTCCCAACTGTTTAAATGTTAAAGGGACACTGTAAACTCAAGAACCTAAAATTAGAACTAACTTTGGTTTCAAGTACACACAGCTTACCCACTCACTGGAGAGCTGTTACTATGAGTTACCAGCTAGCAAACAAATGCACAAAAAGCCAAGCAATATACTTAGATTTATGACTTGTTTGCCATAGCATGAGATCTTTCCAGGCAAGACTCCTGCTGAAAGATGCTTGAAACCTAATGTGGACTGGCAGAAGAGCGGGGTGGGGGGTAAGGAAGAGGAACATCTCGAGTAACAAACAGAATGACAGACAAACAGCAATACATCTGAAATTACTGAGACACTAGGACAGAAAACATTACAGAGGGAGGAAAAGGATTGATCAAAACAGCACAGTTTAAAACAAGCTTTTATTCCTCTCCCTTCACCTGCCAGCAACAGGAAGCTTATTACCAAACTATGTAAGATAAAGGCTTGATCATTTTTACCTCTTTCAGGAAAATCACAACCTAAAACACATCTCATCCAGACATGTAACCCATTCATTGGCTACGAGTTACATGTTAAACTTCTTCCATTTCCACCGGTTTGGCCCAATGCTCACTAGAATTGAGTTTATCTACATCTCCCCAGCACTACTGGCAGGTGGAGCTACTGTAAAATATGTATAACGAAACATTTTTATTGCAGTGATAATTCAGGTTACCTATGCAGCTGCATTCCAACGAATGTTTTTTAAGCATTGCTTTATAGATTGAACCAAACTACTGTCATGCGGAAAATAGTACCTTTAGTTTTCAGCAGCTTTATGGATTTTTCTTAACTGTTCTTCTGCATACTAAAATATGACAAAGCTCCTGAGAGTGGAAGCAAAATTGCTTAACGTGCCACAAACACACAGTAAAATACAGCACTAAGGGATGGCTGAGCCACTACCAATGCCAGGACAGCTAAGCGCTTCGCTACATCAAAACTGCCTTTCCAAATTTCCATTTTCCCCCCTTTACAAATGGATGATTACAAGCGTGTGACAGAACAAAAAAACAAAGGTATGAGTAACAGATAACTAAATCTAGCTCTGTGGTGCACTGCCTGGGCTGACAGCAAGCCTGAAATCCAGCAGATCCACACCTGCTTGGAAACAGTCAGAGGATTACATTTAAACTAAAGAAGTGGGCAAACATTTCTCTCACCTGGCAGTGGGCTGAACACTGCTAACTCCTTGATTGGTGCTTTGCTTTGAAGCCTTGAAAAGCTGTGAAGTACAGTGCATCAAAGGTGCTCCTGTCACCTCCTGCCCCAATACTGCAGAGAAATAAGGAATTTTCAGTCCCATGTATTTCTCTTACAAGCAGTGACTAACTACATCAAGTGTTCTCATTTGAGCTGCAACGATCTTGATATCTGAAGCTGAAAATTAATACCCTGTTAGACAAATCCTACATACTTGTTTTTTTCCAATTTCATATTAGTATTTCCTTCCTTTACATATGCCATTTCTTTTGAATGTTTTTTCCTGAAGTTAAAAAACACGCCAGGGAAAAACAACTCTCACCGTAACTCTAAGTAAAATTTCCACTGAACCACCTTTGTGCAGCAAAGTGAATTAAAACCAGACGAATAGAAGTATGTAATGTCCTCCTACACCACTCGTCCTCTTTGGGCTCGCAGTAGAGAGAAATTTGATTTTAAAGTTCACTAAAAAATGGACCAAAAATATCTGTATAGTTTTGTAATAGTTCATACCTGGTGCATTAATTAGTTGTTATGAATATTGCTTTTAATCCACTGGTACAGACATGGAATGTAGTACAATACTGTATCCATTATACTTAACACAGGTTTGCAATCTTTCCGACCAAGGGCTGCATCTACAATTTACGGGGAGGTTTTTTCTGTGTAAATGTGTATTTGGAGTTTCCTTGCTAAAGGAACAGAAGATACATTCTTCAGCTTCCCCAAAATATTTTATATGGAATAATCTAGCAGTAACATAAAAGGCTTCAAACCATTGTACCAAAAAGATGGGAGAAATTCCTGTGAAGAAATGGAAGCAGCAAACAGGAAGTAGGTACCCTACCTACAAATATAGCAAACTACAATGAAATCTCTCCCTCTGGACATCCCTCCTTACCAGCTGCCCTCAGCACAACGCGATGATTACTCCCACTGTATTAACCTTCAGTTAGTCAGCTGGTCTTTACACTGTGGAAGTTGCAAGACAGCACTCAGGGATGGGAGGAACTTGTGGAACTTACACTGCAACGCTTACACCAGAAATTAAACTTTAATTGCTGATTTTCTAGAAGATTATACATAAAAACATTAATTTAGAACCATTACTTAAGGGTACAGCCATAGTTATCACATTACTTTTCACGTTCATGTGATCTGTTTGTAATGTTTACTTATGCTTTGGGTACTTTTTCCTCATTAAGGGAGTATTTATTGCATTGGCTACTGCACTGTTCTTATTCTGTCATCATATTTGCTCCCTCCCCACCAGTGGCATCCTGGGAAATATGGAGATCTTCTAGCATTTCAGCCAGACTGATTCGGGGAGGACCATCATCATCTGTGTCGCTCTCCACTGGAATATCTGCATCTGAAAAAATAATAGAAAAAAAAAATAAATAACCCCAAACCCCCTAAACCATGCCAGGGAAGGAAGGGGAAAAAAAAAACAAACAAACAAAAAAACACCAGCAAAACCACTAACAAACCACAAAACCAAAACCCAAACAAATCCCTCCTAAAGCCCAACAATCCCATGGCAATTGCCCTCATGGAAGATGCTGAATTGTGTATCAAATCTTTCACCCAGGAGAGGTTTTGTGTGCTGGAGAAAATACGCTTCTCCCTCTCATGTTAAAGACAAGCAAACAAAACCCATCAACATCCATTCAGTCCATGTGAAATACATGGAATACCTGAAGCTATTACACTACAGCATTTCTCTAGGCACAAGTAGTTCAAAGAATCCAAATATGTAACTTCAGTAAAAACATTTTCACTCAAATAGTCAGGATTTAGTTAGATGCAATTAAATGGTTAGAATGGCCTTACTCCGGTAAATGTTGACATTCTTCCTTATGGCTTCATCTTCTTCAAGATCTTCAAGGAAGTCCTGGTATTGTCTGTAAAAGATGCTTAATGTATTTACTCCCTTTTCCTTTGGATTTATGCAAATTTATAAAACAAAATACAATCGAAGAAACAAAGCCCCAAGGAGGGACTGTAACCTGCAGTCCTTCAGACGTGCCTTCTGACAGCACTCCTACGTTTCCAACTCATTCCTTCTGCCTTTAATTATCGCCCATAGTTTAAACTTGCCTTTCCTCATTTAACTCTAATTACCTCATTTTTTCTACTCAATGGAATGTTACTGAGAATCTGTTGTTGCTGTATCAGCTTTGTCACTGAACACACCAGTGACAAGTGTGTTTTCACTGGTGTCCCTTGACCTTTACAAACAACAGCTGTAAGCTACAGACACAGTGCTTCTGATATTTCTTGTCTCATGATTTAAGCTTTTCTTGAAAACAAAACAAAACAAAAAAAAACCAAAACCCATAAAAATACTTTTTATATTTTGCAACAGTAAACCTGAAAAACCTGCAGTGTTATCTTTAAGATTTCAGGATTTACTCTGTTTGCACAGCCCCCTGGCCTGCTGTCCTCATCATCCACCTTCCCCTGAAAACTTAGCCGTCAGGATAAGCACAAGGTGCACATGCTTAAAGCACTTCCTGCAGTAGGGAAGGAGGAAAAAAGCAGAGAGATAACGTTCTTCAGAGAGCACTGGCATCAACCTGCCCTATGAGCCAGCATCACGCTCAAACAGAACCAGCAGCATTTGCTTGTGCCCCCTTAGCAATCAGGCCATCAGCTTTTCACTCTTCCATTAAAAACTGCACCGAGTTTATCCTCAGCAGAAACTGAGAAATGTTATTTCTCGACTTGGCACAGCATCCCAGGTAGCAGGGACTGAAAAGCTTCATGGAGATACCGGACCTTTCATCGTCTGTATCCATGCCTTCTTTGTCCCTTTCCAGCTCTTTCAGCTTCCAGTTTCTGCGACGCTGGCGTTTGCTGCGGTCGTAGCTCTTCTTTATTAATACCTATGGTGAAAACCAGCAGGTATTTACACATACACACCTTCAGTGCTGCTGCTGACACTTTCAAAATTCAAAACAACACTCAAGTCTAGACTTGGGCAACTGTAAAAGCACCTGAACAAATGGTAGGGTCAGTCTGGCACTCAGAAGTTTTATACAGAATTTATATAGTATTTGTCAATTCAAAAGTTTCCAAACACTTTGGATTATGTCCTGAAGAGGCATACACACAGTGGAGTTGTAACAGTTTTCACCACACAGTGCGTGGTAATTTGAACAAAAACAGCAAAGAGTAACATAAAGTAAATGTATTATTTAACCACCACTCAAAAATTTAAGTAGTGGGAAAATAATTTTCAAAATTAGATGCTATTCAAATTTCAAGATTAATATCCTCTCTTCCTTCAGGCACTATGGAGCTAATGAGTATTCATTATAAAATCATATTCCCTAATACCCCTGGGTAACACAGAGAACTTCGTACAGAGAAAGAAAATGGTCTTACCACATCAGGAATATTGTGTGGGTTCATCTTATTGGCAAACTCATCATTTAAGTTGCAGTTCGCCAAGTCGAATCTAAAATGAAAATAGGTATTTTATCCCACCCTTTTATTCAAGTCTACAAAATGGAACTCAATACATCATATGTTTGTATTAAAGAGCAACATAGCATAAGTTACAGCTCCTAAGGAAGATAAATGTTTCCAAATGAAGTAGAGAGTAAATAGAAAATCGATATGCAGCTGTCATAATACAAATAGCTTTTAGAAGCTGCTGTTCCCCAATTCTGTTCAGTAGCGCTCCCCAGCTTTCTGAACCCAAACAGCAATATCCACCAAGGTTCTGTTGGGCTTACAACAGCTCCAATAACAGTTGTGTTTAAGTCTGAGAATCACCTAATTTGCCTAATCTTAAAAAAAATTTCACGTTTGTCATTGATAGTGAGTATCGTATACAGCAAACAAAAAGATCTTGCCTGGTACTTTAAAAATCCCTCCCATCTATTTGTGTCTAAACTGTTATTTCAGTGCACTCTCAAGTCAGTGCTTCAGCTCTCTTAGTACTAACAGCCCTTTTCACAAGATGGTTTCCGTTAAAGATTTCCTATATTATGCCCATCTTTTCATGGTCAAGATGAAAGATTATATCCCTTTAGATGATTTCGTTCAGAAATCCGAACAGTTCAAAACTTCCTTGAAGATACCTAAGCCTGTAGAGAACCCAGAGAATTCAGTCATTAAATAATCATTTAATAAAAAACAAGGAACAGAACAGACCCCAAGACAAGGTCGCCGGGATTCAGAATGTGTCCCAGGTGAGTGCAGCAGAAATACTGGTGATCTGTATTCAACTCCGAGGTTTTCTGTACCCATGCTTCAGCCAGTGTGTGCTTGAGAAATAAAAACAACACTCTTGTAATCAAACGCAGCTTAACTTGCTGTGCTATTAGAACATCTACACTGCTACATTACTGGCTTAAGTTACATCTGTAATTAAACTTGTATTTCTACATCAAGCATCCAATGTATTGCTTGCTACTCCTTCTCATCTTTACAAAAGGAAATGGACATGCCAACCACTTTTCACAAGAATTATTCCACAAATGCTGTTTCTGTAATTAGATGCATTTTATTGTTTGGCTTTTTTTTACTTCCTAACTTTCAACCCCATATAGCTTTTGACTGAGAAGAAAATGCTTGGTACTGATTCCTTAATTCTGATTAAATAGAAATGCTTCTATACTTCAACAAAACCAATTTATTAACTGAGGAGCTACAGAGCTGATAAAGTAATTTCAATAACGATAGTAACTAGTTTAAACTCTTCAACAGAGAAGTATTTCTGAAAGTGGAATTCACATAACGCTGGTGCAATTTCCAAACCAAAACACTGTCCACACCTTCCTGAGAAGAGCTTTTGCCAGTGGCAAGAAATAAAAAAAGCATACATCTGACTTTGCTAAGTAGAATGACTCAAAACAGAAGTTCAGCTGAGTAGGGGAGGAAAAGGAGAGGAAGGTCCAAAACAGAGAATCAGAGAGAAACTCTCACCTTGTTTGATCTTGCTCCAGCACCTGCACCTTTTTTCTTTTCTTGAACCCTATTGATATCCATAATGATAAACTCCTCTAGTTGTTTGGGGTGGAACAAGCTATTGAAAGGGTGGCGCCAGTAGGTATTTCCATCAATTTCAGCAACTGGAAAAAACCCACCAGCATGAGCAATCACAAGGGATAGAATTTCTTGCCAAGAAATTGAAAGGACGAGGAAGCATTAGCCAAAATTAAGGTAACTACCAAACGCATTTTGTTCAAGTTTGTTATTGTAACACAAGTATTTAGGACATGATGCATATTACAAACTTGTACTACAAGAGCAGTTGATCGGTGACAGCTAAATCACCTACCAGGTGCCTGAGGCATAGACCTTTTTATTCATAAGAATCATTTTCCTGGATGTAACCTTATTCGAGGTGTTCTGCTGGTAAAGCTTACCAGCAAATACCAATCAAAGCACAGTGCTTCTAATACCAAATTAGCTAGAATCATCATCCAGAGAAAAAATTGATTTCATCTAATTTTAGAGGAACATACCTGACGAATCTAAGAGCTTAGCCTAGAACATCCACGAACTTAAACCTGACCCTGCACGTTTTGCCCAGGGTACTACAGAAATCAAGCTTAGAGAACTTTAATTCGCTACTACATTTCTACATCAGCGCTTGTATAGATAAATTTACAATGTTGAGGTCTAAAGATACAAGATTTCATGAAAACAAACAATAAAATAGTTGTGCCAGCAGAAAAATCAGATGCCACCACAGTGCAGCAAAGAACCCTTAACTTACTCTGCAGGGTGCTGGGATCGATGAGGTGGATGGTACTTGTTACTCTAATGCACACACAGATCTGGCTCATGTTACCAAGACTCTGTGCCAGTTTTGGTGACAGACATACAACATTGTCCTGCATGTAAACAGAAAATAATTACACTCATTTTTCCTTAATTTTTAATAGTCGAAGAAATCTGAAACAGATTTTTAAACTTTCTATTTCTCTACTCAGTATCACCCAGTAACTTCCTCAAGATAGCCGCTACCTGCACTTTCCATGCCTCGTGGGGAGCAGACCCCTCCATCCCCGCAAATACACAATAAATCAGGTCCCCATCACCAAAACCAAACTCTACCCACTTTGTACAATACCCTGGAGATGAAATAGATAGAAGGCACCTTGCATATGGGAACAATTTCCACCGAGAAAGTGCTTTTGTAATTGTAGACATTACTATGAATGTCATGCGAGATCAAACGTTGGGATGATTTTGATCTATAAAATATAAAAATTGAGCGTTCAGGCAGCAGGAAGGACATTACTTGAAACAGACGATAATCAGCACAAAGTACAGCTATATACTTTCATTGCTATGTATTGCAAATACAAAAGTTAAGGAAATAAAAACATGCATGAGGGTTACTTTTATAATGGCTAAGTGGAAAACACAGGACCTTCTGTAGAAGGGATTTTGTCCATTTTAACTAGAATACAGGTTCCTTACACCTTCACTTACAAAGTTCTTTAAAAATGAAGGATAAAAGACATTTCCCCAAAGCTTTTGAGTACTCAAGGCAACAATTGTAAATGATATACCTAGACGGAACTGTACACTGAAGAAAGTCAACCATCTTCTGGGCCTGTTGCTTTGAAGAATAATAAAAATCCAGGCCGTCTTAAAGAAAAGAAAACTTGATGAACATATCTATTTCAAGTACTATGTTTTTTTTTCAAATACAATACAAAGGCTAAGTTATCTGCTGCTTTTCTGTACATAGCTACTAACGCAAGCACTCTTCTAATATAAAACAGGTTAGTCAAGACTAATAAGCCATCTCACTTACCATGGATTTCTTTGATGCGAAGTGTATTTTGATGAAGCCTATGTTTTAAAATCAGCTGCTCCAAATAGTAGAAGGTCTTCTTGTGCAGTGTCTAAAACCAAAGATAAAATTATCAAGGTTTTTTTCAGAACCATCTAGTGCAAATCCAGTATCTCTGAAGAATAAACATTTATATGAAGAGATCATGTAGGGAAGGTACAGTCCAAAGTCTATTCCAAGTAACCAAAAATATTTCAGAGATGTGCTCTATTTATACCAAACTATTTAGAGATTCCATTTCTCATTTTCATGTAACTGGTTGCTAGAAATACTATTTTCTTTAAAAAAGACTATCTATAAACAATCTGTCCCAGTGTTTCTAACACTACAGTAAAATACAGAAGGATACTTAGTAATTCACACAAGATCCTCCTGCCAGCCATCATTTAAAAAGAATATGCTAAGAACACTGGACAGCAGAGAGAAAGTTTTTCTAAACTAAGATCAGTAATAAAAAAAATACAACCTTGAATACAAAATGTATCTCTGTGGCAGTGTGCAAATGTGAGTACATCTTTTTCTGAGAAAATCATCCAAATATTTGTCTGCCTGATTGTTCTACCATGAACAAATAAAAATTCAATTTGCCTCTACCTTTTGTCTGACTTGCACTACAGCTTTCCAGAAATCCTTCGCTTCGATCCTATGACAGTCTTCACACATTTGAGACTGAACTATATATTCCACCACAAATACCTGCTGAAGAACTGCTCCATTTATCACCTGCAAAACAAAAGTTTAAAGGGTCATTAGCCCTGTCAAGACACAAAGCTAGTTTACCACAGTGTTCTGAAGTAACTTCTATATTATATTAAAACTGTATGGCAGATAGCTATATTTGAGCCACAAATATTAGTGGTATTTTCCCAACTTTACTGGAACAGCCAATTCAAACTGTGATGAATGGCACTTCAGTGATAAAATTTAGGTAGAGAGAAATCAATACTCTTTCAAGATAAGCCAGTAAACACACTTTGAAATTTACCAAAGAGAATCACTTACCTAAAATGTAATAATACTAAAAGGAAAATAAAACCATACTGGTTGCCATAAAAGCTTTTAAAAAGCCAGATGCAGAATACTAAATTTCGGTTACCTCTTTCTGAACAGTCAGTTTCAGCTTCAGCCTTTTAGAATGTGGTTCGGTCCAAATAAAGCCTGCATCAATGAGCCGGACCTGCCAGTGGGAAAGAACAAGAACTCAGCCCCTGCCAGCAGCTGTACTAGTACACGTTAAAAACATGCAGCTCTAATGACCACAAAACACAAGCTTATGGTATAGTTCATGGCTCCTCAACCAAGTGAGGAAGCGAACAACCTTAATTAACAAACATATGTATCAGTATACCAAACCAAATCATCAATAATGCTTAGTTAGAACACAGAGTCTGATCTACCAAAAATAACGGCAATGCAACCTCAGACTGTCACACCAGAGTAACCAAATACACTATTCCACAGTATCTCTGGATCCCATGTAATGATGAATTTGGACAGTATAATGGTTTCCTCAGGACTAAAAAGAAAATTTAATTTCTAAAACTAAGAACATGCAAATTTATTGCAGCAAAAAGTATTTTGTATATTTAACTATTAACCCAATAGCAAGAAGCTCAACAAGGCAATCTAATTCAAATCTTGATGACTATGATAACAAAACAATTTTTTTTTGCCTAAAACACTACCTCAGAATTTTTTCCTCTGGTAAGATTCTGAACCTAAGAGATACTTTATTCAACTTAAACACGTGACTTTCAATTTAATCTATACGTAGACCTCTGCAACCCCCTTTCATATTGTCATAAACCAGTAAGAACAAGTGTTGTATAAACAATTTTAAAAATGTGTAAAAAGAAAACAGTAAAATTAAGGTGCATTAAAACCACATTAGCTTCCTTCAGCTAATTATGCTCAGTTCCCATCCACACAGTAACTCTGTGCAGTATGCTGTGTGCTTTGAAGTCACAGAATTGCACTGCAAGAGCCTCCTCAGTATACTTGGAAATTTTTTTGTTAGAGCCTGTCCTTACCGAATCTTCCAAAACTCTAGTACAGAGCTATTTGAGCTCAGATTGTCATTCTCTGTATTTAATATAAATCAGTTGATAAGCTCTACACAAGTACAGCTACTCCAAAAGGATCAAACCTTGTATAAGTTAGCTGGACTTCACTTTATGCAGTACCAATAAACATGCTATCAGATACCAGTAGGATTAGCTACTCACCTTGCTCAGCGAAGCTTTGAGTTTTTTGAGACACAAAGCAAGAAGCTCCCTTGATTCCAAGGTACAATGAATCCAGGTTCCTGGAGGCTGAAGATACCTATGACACAGGAAGCGTTTTATGGTACACCAAAGCTGCTTCAGCAAATTAAATCATTCAAAAGATGAGCAGTTATTTCCCAAGCTTTCAGTTTTAATATCAGCCTTGCAGCTACAACTTTAGCCCCCCTCAGCATCAAGATCGACGCATTCCAAGCGCATTCACACTTTTACTGCCATCCTCGCCCATCTGCCCGCTTCGTTTTCCTTTCAAGGACCAGAAACTCACTCCTTTACGCCATCCAGACCCTACATACCAACGCCTTTCTGCTTCCACAAGGAAATAAATACAAGAACGTGCTGAAAAATCAGACGAGACCCGAGGAAAACATGCCCGGTGGGGTGTGCCGGGCGGCTGCCCGCCTCCCCCCTCAGGAGAGGGGCCTCCGCCCGCGGGAGATGGCGGGAGCCCGGCCGCTCACCTTTCGCACTGCCTGCAGAAGTGGAGGGTGCCCTGCTTGGGGATGCCCTCGGTGATGTCCACCTGCGCCCGCAGGCACCCCACGCACATGTTGGCCGGGTTGGGCGGGATGGGCACGCCGCACTGGCAGCACAGGCTGGAACACAGAGGGAGAGGAATAAAAAAAAAAAAAAAAAAAAAAAGTCACGAAACAGCGACTCTGCCCTCAGAGCTGACGACTGCAGGAACCCGCGGTGGCAACCGAAGGTAGGTCTAGGCTTTTTAATTTATTTACGTTAAAGAAAAGTGGTGTCTCAGAAGAGTCGTCACTCTCCCCGAGCCGCCCCGCTCCCTGGCCGCCCGGGTTCCTCCCGCCCTGCGGCCGAAGCTCGCCCGGCGGCACCGCCATCCCCGGAGCCCGCCCACCGCTTACATGTTGCCCTGGGTGGGCGCCGCCGGCCCCGTCATGTACTCCATGGCGGCTGCTGCCCGTGCCGGCCCGGTTTCTGGGCATGAGAGGAAGAGGAAGAGGAAGAGGAGGAAGAGGAAGAGGAGGAGAAGAAAAAGAAGAAGGAGGAGGAGGAGGAGGAGGCCGCCGCCGCTGTAGTCCCGCGAGAGACGGGCCGGGTGGGCGGGAGGCACGGAGGGGGCCGGGCTGCAAGATGGCGGCAGCCGCCTCAGGCCGCCGTGTGAATGCCGCTGGCGAATAGCGTTGTACTTAGTGATTCTTGGAAACACGAATTCTTTTTTTTTTTTTTTTTTTTTTTGAAAATCATAGGATTTGATCCATCCATCTTCGTCCCTGTGGGGCGAGCCCAGGCTGTTGTCGCAGCAAATGGTGGCAGTAGGATACCTCGGCTGCTTCTTGTATTCCTCCCTTGGCCGATGATGTATTTTTCTGTTGTTTTGTTTTGTTTTGCTTTCATGGAAATGTGCAGCATTCATTTATTAGCATGGAGACTGATCTGACAGGTATTTCACATCTGCAAATCCTGCCGAAAGTGGTGTGGACTGGTGCTGTCAGCAGTAGGTTAAGAGGTTGCCCTTTTCAACAGTAATTAATTCTTAAATTCTTAATATCTTAAATTCTTAATTTATTCTCGAGAAGTACTGTTATGAAGCAATTTTAGTATTGTTTTCACCTGTATGTCAACTCTGGCTGAACATCTCAAAGGGTATTTGAAAAGTAATTTCCAGCTTCAGTGGAAAGAGTAAGAATAGGGATGTGTGGCATTAAATTTATATTACTTTCAGTATTGATTTTGAAAATCAGAATGAAGTACCTACCTTTCGCATTTGGTGGCAAATTCTCATGACTTTGTAGAGATGGGTAAGACCAAAGTGCCTGAATTTCTCCCTGTGTTTAGTCTTCCTGTATCACAGCAATGAGATTGCATTTTTTTCCAAGAACATAGATTATATACAATAGACTATGTGATGGTACAGATGCTTGTAAATGGAGAAACAAACAACTATTCCATCTGGAGCTTCAGTTTTGATTTGAAATCATTATCAAGCATGAATAAGAGTCCTTTTTTTGTCACTAATTTATAAAGGATTAAACTATGATAATTATTAGATGCTTTTAATTTACTGTTAGAATGTGAAGCTACCCCCCAGAACCCACTGGCATTTGCGAGTTTCTGAAGTGAGGGTGCGGTTTCAATAGTAGAATAACAGGACTTTATCCTAACTGATGTCAGTAATCTACTGACTTCTTTTCCATGATGGCCACTTTTTAGCAAAGCCTTGTTGGATTTTGAGAAAATTTATTTAAAAGTTATATTTGACAGGAAAAAAATATTTTACAGTTTTTAAGTGTTCACCTTCCGGACTGGCATTTGTCTCCTGAAGTACAAAAAGAGACTTGATAAACTGGAATGAGTTCAGCAGCAGTCACCGAGACAGTCAGGGCTGGACCCCTTTCCCCATGGGGAGGAACCCAGGACTGGCTCAGCGCCTGGAGGAGAGATGGATTTGAGGGAACCTGAGAGCAGCCACCTAGACCGATGAGGAGGTCATGGAGGAGAAGGAGCCAGGCTCTTCCCGATGGTGGGTGGTGGGTGGGTGAGAGGCAACAGGCTTAAGTTGAAACAAGAAAGATTTAGAGTGATTTAAGGACAAACTTTTTTACTCTGAGGACAGTCAGGAAGTGGAGTAAGTTGTTCATGGAGTTGTGCAGTCTCTGCCTTTGGAGGGTGTCATGCCTACGCTGGTTAAAATGCTGAGCGACCTGCTCTGCCTTCATGTTTGACTCTGCTTTGAGCAGGAGGTTGGACTAGAGACCTCCTGAGTTCCCTTGCAGCCTGCATGTTTAAAGCAATTAATACCTGTCTTTTCAAAGTATAGCTTAAAAGCTTAAATACCAAATATCCAAGCCTAGCACCAAGTTTCTCCTCTCTATTCCACCCATCATGTTCTCTGAAGGATTGTTTCTTCCCCTTCAGAAAGGGGTTTTGAGTTTCCACAGAGGAGAACATCTGGACAACAAATACCTTTCTTCCTGGATCCATTGCTAATACAGCTTACCCACAAAGCCGAAAAAAACTTTACAGTGAGATTGTTGTCACCTACACTGTCATAATTCATTAATTAAAAGTTACATAATACTTTGGTTTAGAAGAAGGAGTTGGTACAATCCATTTGGGCTAGATTCCATTTGTGGTATGCAATAATCAACCATTCCCTTTGGAAAAGAGTCATGATATTAAGGTACTTTTGCAGCTCAGCATTTGTTTTCTTCAGGCTTACAGTTACAATGGAGAAAAGTAGAGCTGAATTGCATCAACACATTGTGTGTGGTTTATTTAATGTGGTAATATCCTGATGGAAAGGAGGAGTTGTTTGGGTTGCTTTAGAGTTGTTCTGGGGACTGACAATCACAGGCTGTCGAGCTGTCTGACTTGTTTTTTCTTCTTTGGCACATTTTTCTTTGATGAGCTGCTTGTGTTCACAGACTGTTACTCAGTTCTGCTCCTTTGAAATTAAGTTTCTTTGCAGACCTCTCTGGAGATTTACCATGGACCTTATTATTAAAAAAAAATTTAAAAAAAATAAAAAAAAGATTAAAAAGTGTTTCCCTTCATGGATGTTTCATTTCTATACTCTTCAAAACTCCTGCTGCACAGTGAGTATTATATAGTTTTTACTTTCAAGCCCTGATGAATCACTCGATCTTTGATTTTTTGATTTATGAAATTATACACTTCCTGTGAATTGAAGGCTGTCACTTGGTGAGTCTCACGTTGCAAAAGGGGTTAAGCAAAGCCTGTTATTTATGGGAGCCAGATCTGTGAAGTCACAGGGAAGAGAATCTGGTCCTAATAATACTTTAGATGTTTCCACTACAGGTTTATTTTCAACTGCAGTTTTCTCCACCTTATTTCAGTGCTAATATACTAAACCCTACCTCAACTCGAGGCACAGCCACTAACTACTGCAGGTTTAGTATGAGAACAATGTTCTTTGTAGTCACCAACTGTAGGTACTTTGTGTTGCCTCTGCAAGCTCTTGTTGCCCTAAGGCTTCCACCCATCCAAGTAAAATTTGTATGTTTTAAACTGCCAAAGTATTCTTATAGTCTTAGCACCACTTCTAAAATATTTTACATCTTTGTACACAATAAGCAAGTTAAAAAGCAGACCATTGAATCTCCTGAGAACTTTAGCAATAGTAGGTCTGGATTTCAGAACTTGTTATGTGGACTTCGGCTGTGTGATGCGAACTGAAAGGTTTCACCATGTCTTCCTAGTGAGGATCCAGTATTCAAAGAAAAGCTGGTATTCTAGTTGAGATGGATGATATTTCTTCTAAATTGATGCTGGTTTTAGGAATGGGTTTATGGGTGAGACCTTGTTTGCTATTGCCTGGCACTAACCAGAGATCTGACATCTTAGGAAGCAATTTATACTGCAAATCATTTAAGAGAGGGTCAGACTTGCAGATCTTTGGGAAGATAGCTGTGTATTTTTGCCACCCTATGCTACTTACTGTCTTGCAGCCAGACTCGAAGGAGCCATGCAGGCTACCTGACAGGCTTTGTGTGCCTTGAAAACCAGACATGCCGTCTCCTCAATGCCCTCCTAGCTGCAGAGGTACTGTAAGAGAGGCACAGAAGGAGATCCTGGGTTGGAAGAAAACGGTGCATGGGTACATTTGTGTGGTTCTTCACTGCTCTGTACGTATGTTGGGTAGTCACGCTTGTAGCAGTTAATATAAAACTATAGCGTGGAAACAGAAAAGTTGGGTTCAGGAGTGTTCAACTGTGGTCTGATATAAATGACCAGGAGAACACAAGGCAGGAAAACAACTACGGATGTGCCCGGTTGCTGTTTTAAACTGGGCTGAGAAAGATGCATGGGCTGGATTTCAAGCCAGTCTGGATGTGCTGCTGCACCTGTGCTCTTGTCTTCATTCTCATTCATTCTCACTGAAACAGCTGTGCGCTGCATAATGGCCTATGTAACACAGAAGTAAGAAAGTGGCAATAACTGCTTACCTTCCTGCAAAAAACCCGACAGGAATTATACTTCTAATGTGGGCCGAGGCTCTGAGTGTTTTTTCCTTTTCCTGCAAATATCTCTGGAGCTGTTATCTAAAGTGCAAGATGGTAACTCATCAGGACATTTCAGTTTTCACAGCTCCATTTAATTTCCCTTTTCACCCAGGAGCTGCAGGAGTTATAAGGCTGTGTACAGGCACTGCTATGAATTTAAAGGTGGCTTTGTAAATTCTGGCAGCTTGGGTGATAAAGCTGTCAGGTCTCCACCACCAGCTACTCTAGTACTAATGATGAAGAGTGGAAAGGGTGAGGGTGAAAAATGTTGTTCCCACTTTTGTGACTGCTGCTGCCTAAAACTGTGTTGGCATTTCAGTGTGTGACTGGTTGCATGGAGTTGTTAATTACTCCTTTGGATTCCCTAAGGTCAGAAGCATGGGAAGCAGTGTGCATAAGTTTTTATTTTACATTTTTTCTTTGCAGAATTTGGGGATGCAATTTAAATATTTTGTCACTTTTGTCAATTTGGACTGATGGGCTAGAATGAGAATGTCTGGGAAATAACCACTCAATATGTGTGTAGTTGATAGTCTTCTGCATCTGTGTCTGTGGAGAACTCACTTGTTGGGATGGGGAAGGCACCGAATTATCGTGGCATCAGCCTGAATGCCTCAGTAGTCACGACAGGGTAAGCAAAAGCCCCAGCTCTTCAGTGGCCCGGGGCCTACACGCTTCTCGGTGCTGTGCATCCTGTCTCTGCAGGTCTGTTCTGAAACATGTCTGTGTTGTTCCTCCAAACGTGAAGGTCACAGACAAAGGCTGTAGAGTGAGGTTTAAATTAACTCAGTTTTTTTTCTAATTCCAGTTACAGAATCAGAAAATATGACTTAAAATAGCTATAAAAAGCATCATGTAGAAAAATGGAATTTATTGTCAGTGTGTACAGTACACACATTTCATTTACAGAGCTGTCTCATAATTAGAACAGTTGTATAATTGATTCAGTTATCAATTTACATACTGTATTACCTCCTAGAGTTAACCTTTTCACTCTTCCATTAACTTTATCACTGTCAACATCTGTAGGAAGTT